TTGGATTGGAGTCCAGTAGATACTTTTGGTAGAGAATTTCTAGCTGCTCTGGCGTAATAGTCGTCCTCAAACGCTTGTCTCTCTGAGGTTCTTCTCCTCCGGTCCCACTGTCATTTTCCCCGGGGCTCGCGCTGGCCTTTTCCTCCAGCTTCCTCTTCAGAGTGTTCATTGTGGAGGTTGGGGTAGAAGGAGAAGTGGCTGCGCTGGCTGGAATTTGGGGTATGGCCCCAGACAGCAGTTGGCTGGCCAAGAGTGGGTTACTGGGGTCAAACAGCATGAAAGGCATATCTAGTGACCTGTCCAGAAACTGGGGGTGGATGAACTGGTTCTGTGCACTCAGAAAGTGAAGCTGTTGATGTTCCTGCCAGTGCTCAAATGACGGAAATGCCAGTTTGCACTGGTCACACTGGTAGGGGATGAGCTGCGGAGGGAGGTTTGCCAGCTGCTGAGGAGTTGATGTGTGGAGGGGCTTGAGGGGAAGGTGGGAGAGCTGCGAAGGACTGGGGCTCGACTGTGGTAAGGGGCACTGAGGAGGGGGCGCTTGTGGAGGCAGCTGTGGTAGCGAAGGGGGAGAAGCCAGCTGTGGGAGCTTTTGTTGGGGTGCAGTTGTCTTCTGCTCTGGTTGGTCTTGCTGCTGCAGCTCTAGCTTTGGTTGTCCTTGCTTCTCTTGGTTTTGGTTCGGCTGTGCACTGGGAGGTTCCACTTGCTTTGGTTTCTCATCGCTTGCTTCTGTTTTGGAACTGAAGGTGGCCAGTTCATCCGCTTCCGCTGTGAGCTGCAAGAAGGCAGAGGAAGCTGTGTTGGCTGATGGAGCTGGGGCATTGTATGCCTGCGAGGGCATCGGGGTGCTGCAGGAGGAGCTGGTGGGAGTCAGGATTTCCATGGCGTCCATGGAGTCCTCATTTTGGCTGTCATCCTGCCCCTCCTCATCTTCATCCTTGTAACACAGCTTCTTCTGGTGCTTGATGAGATCAAAGATGCGCTGAAATACCAGGCTACATTTTTTGCACTGGTAGTTTAAGTTGCTCGTACGAATATATCTGTCATTGGTGAGCTCACGCCGCTCTCCATCTTTGCCCTCCCCCTGATTCTCATAATTTTTCCTGGCCTTCTGTCGGGCATTTTGAAACCACACCACTATGACTCGGGTCGGAAGGTTCAGTAAATTAGAGAGTTGCTCAAACTCATCATCCTTGGGGTACGCGTTGGCATCAAAAAAGTCCTGCAAGACCCTCAGCTGGTAGTCTGTGAACCTTGTCCTTGAGGACCTCTTGCTTCCCCAGTACTCCTGCTTTTGAGGTTCCGGGGAAGGAGGCCTGGAGTCGATCTTGAGCTCTTCTAGACTGGTGATGGGAGGATTGCTGAAGTTATATGGGGAGTCCTTGTTGCGCTGCCGCTCTTTAAAGAGAGTATTTCTGAACCAGTGCTTGATCACTTTCTGGGGCAACCCAGACTTGTCTGCCATCTCTTTGATCTGTTCTTCACTGGGAGAATTGTTAATATCAAAATATTGCCGTAAGACTCGGAGCTGATCATCTGTGATCCTGGTCCGAGGCCTCTTATTCTGCTGCTGCTGGAGCAGACTTGGATTGAGCTGATGCTGGTATAGCTGGGCCAAGTCTGCAGGCAAAGGTTCAACAGGTCCAAGCTGAGGTGGCAGCTGAGCCGGTAAGGTCTGCAATGGCATTGTCTGCATCATCAGTGGCGAGAAAATGGGCAGCTCCATTGGCATGGACAGCTGAGTGAGCGGAACGGATGGCTGGGCCGGGGCAGTTGTTGGAGATGTGATGGGTGGTGCCGAAGTAGGAATGGCTGGCGTGGAGGCTGGTTGAGGTGGTGCTGAAGGGAGAGGGGGCGGAGGGGGGGGCGGCTCTGGGGTCTGGGGCCTCAGTGGGTAGAGTTTGTCATAGTGCTCTCGGTACTGTTTGGCAAACCTCTCCAACTGTTTAAAGGGAAAGTAATTTTGGTGAACGTGCTCTTGATGACTTTTCAAGATCAAGATGTTGGAAAACAGCTTGCCGCAGGAATCACACTCAAGCTTTTCCAAATTCTCTCCCTGCTCGGTCTTGCCGTTCTTCTTCTGCACCTTCTGTTTATTCTCGTTGTACTGAATGACCAGCTCGAAGCCAAAGTTCTCCAGCAACGCCTTGGTGGCGTTCCCTCTGGCATCTGAGGCAATGCGTGGAGGGAGCATGGAAGGCTCGGAACTGCTCCCTGGTGCCAATTCCTTTTTCTCTTTGGCCTTCAAGGCATCGGGCAGTGATTCTTTGGGCCCTAGATTGCCTTCCCCCCCCTCGGCATTGTCCCTCTCTCTCTGGCTTTCTTTCTCCTTTTCTTTGATGACCAATTTGTTTTTCTTCTCGGGATGTTGGCTTGACTGAAGAAGGGCAGAATGACTCTGGGACAGAGAGAGTTGGCTTTGCGGCTGCTGCAGGATCTGTTGGTGGCTCTGCTGTGGGATCTGAACCTGAGCCTTTAAATCTTCCAGCAGGCCTGGGCCCGTCCCAGTCAGCGCCAGGGCCCCGCTGGTCACTGGCAGGCTCATCTCAGGGTTGAGCTGGAACTCAGCACTGGGTATATAGAAGGGGAAGAGGAGATGCTGCTGCTGCTGCAGCTGCAGCAAGGTCTCAGTGGTCATGGGGAAGTGAGGAAGGAGGGTGGGGTTGAAGAGCTGAGACTGGATCAGGGCAGCCTGCTGCTGCAGCTCTTGCTGCAAGTGAGCTTGAACTTGGGCTTGGGCCTGGGCCTGAGCCAGCGTCTGAGCTTGCTGCTGCTGCTGCTGCTGCTGCCTAGAGGCTATCATATCTGCCAGTTTCTTCCGATTGGCTTCTTTGGGCTCTGAAGGGGAAGCCATGTTGGCACCAATGGGATTTCCAAAGGATGGCATCGCTACACTCTCAGTGGGCACTTGGCTCAGTAAGCTGGAACTTGGAGCAATGCCAGCACTGCTAGGATTGGTGGTGGTAAAGGTGTTACTGCTGCTGGTGCTCACTGGACTCGGGGTGGAGGAGCTCAGGGAGACGCTGCTGCTGCTCCCAGTCCCATTGCTGCTGCCGCTTGCAGCCTCCAGCTTGGCTGCCCGGGCCTTGGTTTGATGCAACACAGACCTCATGTGGATCTCCAGAGTGGAGCTCTGGCTGTAGGCCACATTACAGGTGTTACACTTAAAGGGCTTGTTGTCGGGGCTGCTGGTGGGTTCTGGCTGACCGGTTGCTGATTCTTGAAGGGCTCTCTTTAATTTATGCAGATGGGAGACAGAATTGTAGTGCACTAATAGGATGTTCTTTTGAGTGAAGGATTCCTTGCAGACGGTACATTTGTAAGGGCGAGAAGGGTCTAGAAATTTTTCCATGGTGAAATTGGGGCCTTTTCTGAAAGGCAGAGCTCTCTTTGGCTCTGAGCCCGAGTCTTCCTGTACCGAGCCCGAGTCGCTGCCCATGGGACTCTGTTTATCTTCCAAGTCACTCTCTTCTTCCTTGTCTTCCTCAACTATGATGGTGTGGTCTTCAGCCAGGGTGGGGTCTCCCATGGCCAGGAGGTCCCCGTTGACTAGAAGGCCACCGTAAAGCTGCTGGATGTCAGCCTCACTCAACTCCAGGTGGCTAGTCTCCAGGTGTTTTTTCAGAGCCTGGAACGTTCTGAAACTGCGCTGACAAAGACAGCACATGGTGGCAGCTCTGATGACGTGGTACTGAGAATGCAGCTGCAACTTCTCAATGGTTTTAAATGCCAGGCTGCACTGATTGCAGCGGTATTTGTACACGTGGCGATCTGACACTGGCAGCTGAGGTCTCTTGGTGTGAACTTCATTGAAATGCGTCTGAAGGGCAGCAGACGTTTTGAAAACCTGGTTGCACCCCTTCTTCCAGCAGAGGAAGCCCGAGTCTTCCCTCACAGAGCCCGGGTCAGCAGGAGACGGTTTCAAATCTCCACTGTGCTCTGTACTCACTGATGGCAAGATGTTCTTTCCCAGATCCTCCGAGGTTTCTGTAAAAAAAAACATCAAGCCCAAAGATAAAGAAGGCTTTGTTTCAGGGATGGCCCCCAAAGCGAGCTGTCTACCTAGAGGCCTCACTACCAGAATCTGAGGAGGAGGGAAATACCCCACCTGCAGGACAGAATCTCGCCAGTCATTCCTCCCCACCCCCAGAGATGCATAAAAGGAATACAGAAAGCTTCAACTCAAAATAGGTCTATGTTGTAGCACAGGTCGCTGTCTTTTAAACATATAACTGCTTTGACTCAGAATCGCAATTTCTTAAGAAATTTGAATCCAAATTTGAATTCAATCCAAACTTGGTTTGCATCCAAGACTGGATTATCCTTTTGTGTCTAAGAACTAAGCCCAGTGCGTCTGCACTGTACACTGTATGTGACTGGTTCTGAACTAGTGGGGGACCTTGTAATCTTCATCCAAGAAATATTTTTGTTAGCAGTTGCTATCACTCTGAACAATGAACATGCAAGCAACCCATTATTAAGCTATATTCTTTTCCTACAGTGAGATCCTCGTGACAGTAAATAACCCCAGGGTGGAGGCTGGGCACAGGTGTGTCGAGTGCTTCTTGGCCCCTTATCTAACCAGGAACAATGTGTGGGGAAACACTAGCGACACCCACATTCACATGTTCTTTCCAGATGCCCCTCTATGCCTCATCCCAAGGCAATCCCAGAAGACATCTAATCCTGTCACCCCATAGGTTTTAGAAAACCCAATTCTTCAAGTCCTTAGAGAGGGAGTAGCACCTATCGATCGATTGTCTGGCTAGTCACTGGTCTGTACTTAAGTCTTGCTTGTCCTCACTCTGATTTTTCTCTCATCTTGAAACCATGTGAATGACACAAATGCACACACCCAGAGACAGAGAACAAAGTAGCAGATGATAGTGCCCCCTCCCCACCCCTGGTCTCCTGACCAGCTTAGGAATGTTGTAAAGGATGCTTGGCACCTTTTCTTTGAAAATCTTGGCTCAAGGTTTCCATTTGATTTCTATTCCCAGGGGTCAAGAGTAAGAATACTGACCAGGCTGCTTTCCCGTCTCGTCCACACCGGAATTCCCGTCTCGATCTGGAACAGCTGCAGGTAGGAACATACTGCTGGGCATTACCATCTCGGGGGTGGTCACCTGAGGAGTGAGAGGCAGAGACACAAGGAGAGTCAAATGGAGAGGAAAAAGACAAAATAAGAAAGGTTTAAAAATTATTTAATAAGCAAAATTAGCCTTTACCAGTGTAAAGTAGAAGGTGTCACTTTTCATAGCTCACTGAAGATTTCGTGTTTATTAGACAAAGCTCACATCAGTCAAAAGTGTTTCTACGGTTACATTCTGGACATAATTAGCAGTGCACACTTGAAGAATAATCTTATTATTAATATTTTTCCTTTATGCAGAATTTTGACTTTGATCACTGACAATGTTTTGTCATGGACTGTGAAACTTCTTGTGCAACCAATTAGGTAGATAAGTTGAAAGGCCCACCTTAAGCTGCTGAAAACATAATAAGGGCCCTAATTAAATCATACCTAGTAAAGTACACTGTAATCTTGAAGCAGGGAGCATTGTAGTACTGTTTTCAAAAGGTATTCAGGCAAGAAGAGGAGGGGACTAAGAGAGAAGGAAAGGGTAAGAAGCAGAGAACAAAGGGAAGGCTAAGGACATGCAGACACACTGGCAGATTTTCTAGGAAACAACATTTTGTAACCCTTCACAAGCTGAGATCAAGAGCAAACTTGAATTCCCCATGACTCATTGAAACTAGGATTTCCTCTAGAATCCTCACCTGAGGTATTCAACATCAGAGGGCACTTGTGCCCAGTGTTCTGGCCACATAGGACCACCCACACAGCATCCTAAAGAGGCGGCCTGCCCCACCTGGACCGTGGGCATTCCAAATACAGAAATCCTGGAATTCACCTGGATGAAAAGAGCTACAATTTTAGGTCAGCTCTGCAGTCACTTCTTCAGTTCTCTCTGCCCTACGGCCAGTAGCGTATACATTACTACTTGCTTAGTGATCCACAGCCTTCAAGGCCCAATGTAAGGGGCACAGCTCTTCATGGGCTCGGAGGGTAGGCATTTCCAGCTAAACTGGAAATGCATCCCTGTTGAGGCTGCAGCCTGAAAATTACCAGGCACACAGGCTGTAAGTGCAGCAACTGATTTTTCCATTTGGCACCATTATATATTCTCTTCATTTGCTAGTGCCAAGTAATGTCATCAACCCAGATGCCAGTCAGTATAAGAATTCAGCAATGCAGACTACAGAGCAGTCTTCTGAGAAATGCTGGGTCTCCGCAGAGCAGGTGGAGGTAAAACACAGCATTCCCGCTCTTCTCAGGGTCTGCCCAACCCGCAAGCTGCAGGACAGCCAGCTAAGGCGAGCTGCTGATAGGTTGTTAGGATTGAAGCAGAAATGGCCAAACTCATTCCATCTATTTTCTTTTTGACAGAAAGCACTTCTGACCAGTGTGGTTGGGGAGTCCAGCGGGATTAATTTATAGTTCTCAGTCGAGGGGAGCACGAGGTTGGGGGCAAGAGGGGGGAAAAAGGGAAAGGAAAAAAGACTTTCCCCCCACCTCCATTCTCAGTTGTAGCTGCAGGATCAGTCCTTTCTTGGGATCTTTAGGAATTATGAAAAATGAATCACGAGAAAACGTTTAAAAAGCCCTACAGAGTAAAAAAGAATAAAATTATCTAACACCTCAGCTGCACATCATTATAGAAAACTGTGGGCTTTTTATACACATTACAGTAAGGCAGACATCCCCTTTAACAGACTCAGTACGACGGATCAGTAATTGTTTTCATACACTTTAATTAGAAAAACTCAGATGGCTATGAATAATAATGGAAAAGAGAGACTTTTGCACTTGAAAGGTTGAAGTCAATCAAGTGTGAATGACGGCAAAAAAGAAGAAGAAGAAGAAGGGGGGAAAAAGACACCAATTCATCAGCCCTCTGTTGTCTCGCTGAGACTTTAATCATAATTCCTGATTGGGATTCAAGAAGGCAGTAAGCAGCAGTTCTTTGTCTGCCTTCACCTTCCATCAATTAACTCTCCCCGAAATATAATCATCAACCTCACATGCTCCTCTGCATCTCAATCTGGACCTCCAAACCTCTAAGTCTTGCCCCATATGTGTTTAAGTAATTACTTTTATTTACCTGCATCTTCTGAAATACAGGATACCCCACCTCTCCTAAGCAGGGGCAAAAATGGTCTGGTATCTGGAATTCAGAAGGAAAAAGAGGAAGATCCCAAGAGGGAAGGCTAAGAACTTAGAAATTACAGTTTTGTGTATATGCTCAAGTGTCCTGACAGATTAACAACGGAAGACGCCTTAGCTAGTTTTCAAAGCTTTTTGCTCAAAGCAGCCATCAGTAAGGATAATCCTGCTAAGAGCGCTCACTGAAGAACAAGTGAGGGGACAAAGGAGCTACTTTACCACTGGCTTTGGCATCCCTGTGTTTTCCAATTGTCCTCCCACTGAACCACACGGTTCAGGCTTTGTGATCCACAGTCTTCGATGGACAGTTGAGAAGTAGGTAAAGAAAATCATTTAACTGCGCTGAGCCCAGTTCTTCAAAATCCTTTCTTGCTGGGAGCACTGAAGTTCATATGTGCACGAGAAGACAAGACAGGATGACATCATAACCAGAGCCATCTCAAGTGGGCTGGGCCTACACCTCTCAGTCCCTCAAGTAACTGGATTCCATGACTCGCTTCCTTGGCACAAACAGCACACAAGTTCTCTCTGTTCACTCCCTACTTCCGTAAGAAAAACAAAAAAAGTTTGGAGGCTTGGCCTGACCACCTACCCTTATGCACATTGACTACCCCACCCACTGGACTCTATTAGATGGATGCTTTGAATTATTCATACACTGGTAAACAGTACATTGCATTAAGTGATGTCCTCCACACCCTAATAAGCATATTAAAAAGCAGGCTTTTTAAAAAGGAAAAGGAAGTTTTTCTAGGTGAGCTCATTCAATCTTTTGGAGCCACTGTTTCTTCGGCATTTGCATCTGTCTTTAAGATTTGGTCTTATCTAAAGAAAGAGCAGTCCCTGGCCATCTGTGAGCTTCCTAACCCATCTGAGCCAACCCCATCCCTCGCCAGTGTATGCAAAGCCAATAGGAATGAATGTAGGGAGAAACCATCAGCTGAGCTGCTGAAAGAATGGAAGTGGTGGCTTTAACATCTTAATAGATGTTTACAGATTTCCTGTTAAACAGATTCATCTCTTCATAGATAAACAGTAACCCTAGAAATGGTGGAGTTCTTCTTGGATACCGAGAATCATACTGTGTAAGAAGTTCTCATAAACAGTCTCAGAAAGGAGCTCCCCATGATGTCCAAACTCTTCAAACTTAAGCAATTCCCAAACAACTCATGTTGGTGAAAGGAAGGGTCAAGAATGACTGCTCACCGTTTGTGAAACACTATCCAGGGTTTCTTTTCTTTCTTTCTTTTTTTTTTTTGTCTTCACAGTCTGTATTCATACTGAAAATCAAGATCAAGCGAGCTTTTACCCTTCTGCTCCACAGGAGGTTTCTGCCCTCCCTGAGCTCGCATTAGGACAGCTGTGTTACCATTTGACAGGTGTACTGCCCCAGTCAAACTCCCCACCTGCCACTGTCGCTGGAGGGACTCACGCCCAGCGAGTGTCCGGGGTTTCTTGTGTTGTATGCTCATGAATTACAGAGCACAAAAAGGTCCCTGACTCCAAGAAGCTCACAATCTCAGATTGTTCATTGTTTAATGTGTATAAGCGCTGATGAAAGTTGTAGACTTCCAGAAAAATACCTTCGCACACAGAATACTACAGATTGTCTCAAGGAACCGTAGGTTTCTTAGTGGGAAAGCCGTGGACTCCAGTTATTAGCCTTTGTTACCCTAAGAGAGGTGATGTAAACTGGGTATCAAGTCTCTGTCCCCCTCTAGTTGGGTTCCTCATTATTTGGGGTTATGGCAATGCCTTGTCAAGATTCTTAAGGCCCCAAAGATAGACCTCATACAGCTATGGCGCTGATTGCCACTATAGTATTTGGGTTGGGACGGCCCTCACCCTCAGATGTTTGGTAGAGAGATTATAAGGGCTACTCCCTTTTCTGTAGTGTAGTGTACAGTAGCCAGACAACCTCCTGTACCATCTCCTCCTAATTATGACATTATGGGACTGTTCGGAGAAATTCACCTCACAAGGCTGGCCTAGGATAGAGCAATGCAGTCCACATGTTTCATGTGGTGAAAGGAAAAGCTCTTGGCATGTAGGGCTTCTTTCAGAAAGGCACATAATCCTAAGTAAACCGGCATTTGCCAAGACCTAGACTCTCTAGGAAGTCCTAAATCTTACACTTTACAGTGAAAAATAGGGGAGATCTATGTGAATTCTCACTAGCATGGCCCGGGACCACCAGTCTCTAACCATTTGTGAATGAAGTTCTTCTGGTATCTCAAGAATGTAGGCATGATTCCGGTGGTGGTGGAGCAACCGCAATCTAGCTGAGAGGAATTACTCGGAGGCAGAAGTACAAGTGTGATGAGGGGGCAGGAGGAAGGTAAAAGGAAACGGGAAAGATCTAGGAAGCAAAGCTTTGGATAGAGGTATAAACTTAGGTGTTCACTTATGGAAATATATTAACTCATAAAATAGAGGTGTTGGCTCAGGTACATATATTTATATGGCGATACTTGAGGAAGTGGATGGTCTTTGGGCCTCTCAGCTCAAGGCCTCCCTCAAGGAAAGAACATTTTGTTGAGAATGGGGGTGGGGTGGGGGTGGGGGACCTGCAGCAGACGCCAAAAACCCATCTGTAGACAATAGGAATCACTTCAATTAAGGGATGAGTCAACCCGGGAGCAGTATACCACCAAAGAAACACACACTATTCTTCTGGTTCTTTGAGGGTTCCTCACCCCCCACTATCATGACTCCAGCCCTGCCTTTCAGTTATGGCTAGACTGGAGCATGTGCACTGATGCAGAGAAGCGCTCACTACACGTGGAACCCAGGTCAGATAAAGCCCTCAGGTACAGAATTGGGAGTGGTAATACCAGGAGGGTATGGGGAGGGTA